TAGGCCCACACAGAATCTGCACCCACAGAAATTTGCAGATTTTGTTTATTTTTTACCCCATCATTATTTGTTTGCTTACAGTTGAAGTCAGAATTATTAGCCCCCCCCACCCACCCAATTTCCATTTAACGAAGAGAAGATTTTTTTCGACCTGATTAGCCATTTTGGCTTTAGGACAAACTCTGCAAACAATGCATCTAATTTGACGTTGCTTTTAGGCAATATGTGGAAACAAACAGCTATTTTATGAGAAAACTGGGTTTTCTACACAGCTTGTGAACTCTTACCGTGTCTATCGTTGCCCTAAATCTGCCGGTTTCAGAATGTTGAGTGACTGTTTTCTGCATGAACTGATTGATGTGAATATACATTCACAATGGTATAAACCGTTATAGGGGATGTCTATTATTTTAATTATTATCATTATTATTTAAAATGCAGATAAGAGTAAACTTTTTTTTCTCAGTTTTATAGGGCTACATAGAGGCTTAAAGCCTGGTTTATACTTCTGCGTCAAGTGACCAGCGTAACCCACAGCGCATGCAACGCGAGTAGCTGTGCATTTATACTTCTGCGCTCTGTCTCTGTTGGTCTGCATTAACACTTCCGAAACACTAGTTGGCAGTGAGGTGTTAATGTTCCTGTGTGTCGAGTTTCTTCGCTGGTGTTGTGTTTTTCTGAACGCTTTCTGGATGTACAAGTGGCTCAAACTCGCTCATTTTGAGGCAGGAACCGGCGGACGTGCAACAACTTTAACTATGAGGTAAACACAAAACTTTGCATCCGCAGCTCCTTTACGGAACTCCACACTTGTAAACAATCGCTCCATCGGGAAGCTCTCGGTCCCGCCCAGACTCGTCAGCAACACCAAGCCGACCAATCACAGAGGTTGCGCTACACGTTGTTGCGACGTGTAGTTAAATTTTTTGAGAGATGCATGTCAGCGACGCCGACGGCCACGGTGTAGGGTTATGGGTCAACGCAAAGGCTGCGACGTAGCATGTGTGTGCGCTTGACGCAGAAGTATAAATCAGCCTTAAGCTTTCATTAGAAGGGTCAAACCCCCCCAGAGCCCCCTGTAATTCACACCCTGCATTTTCTGGTGAGATCAGGCTGGCAAAGGTCATTTTTCTTGAAAGTAGAAATATATTCACAGAAATCTTATTGGTTTAGAATTACATGAATGTGAGCGAATGATGATCATCTTCAGCTAACTATTCTTCAAAAATACCCATAAATACTCTTCAATAAAAGTACTAAACTCCATGGGCTGCTTTATGGACGTTGCTGCACATTTTGGCACACACATGCACACTTTGTGCCAGTAGGACTTACATGCGTTGCCTTTTTTTCCCTCCTTCTACCCCCTGTATTCCTCCGTCAGAATGTGGGGGTTTGGTGCTAATGTGTTGGCTTGTAACCTGCGCTAACTCTAAATGCCATTCACATGTTTGAAGGAGGCGTGCTGCTAGCGTGTTCGCATGACAGCCGTCTGGAGCAGCTGGGCCAATGCTACTCTATTAGCACCTACAGTAATGGCCCCTTTATCTCGTCTTGTTAAGAGTCTCTCTTTCCATTTCTTGCCAGATAACCACCATTCCCGCCTCCTCCTACTCTTTATCTCTTCAATTGTTTTGTTTTTTCTCGTATTGTTTTTTTCTGCATCCTGATATACAGATTAAGTCAAAATTATTTTTATTATTATTATTATCTTTTTCAAATATTTCCCAAATGATGTTTAACAGAGCAAGGGCTTTTTCACAGTATTTTCTATCATATTTTTTTTTCTTCTGGAGAAAGTCTGATTAGTTTTATGTTGGCTAGAATGAAAGCATTTTAAATAAATTAAAATACAAATTATTAGGTGACTAATCAAAAAGTAATTAAAATCGACTTTCAGAATCTATAATCTATAACATTTTTCCTGGTCAATTTTTTTTTTATTACTTTCCCTACCGCGTGTGGAGTCACATGACCCCGCTTTGTTTATACCTCTACATCGAGCGCACGCATATGGTCCGCATACCCCTAGCTATAACCAATGCGCACCTTTCAAACAACATAACTACACGACATGACCAGTGTTGGGGAAAGTTACTTTTGAAAGTAATGCATTACAATATTGAGTTACTTAGTTACTTTGTATTGAAAAGTAATGTGTTACGATACTTTTGAGTTACTTTTTAGTTACTTTTTACCTGCCTGAGGCTTGATCTCTTTCAGAACTTGCAGGGTGTTTTTTGCAATCTTTTAAAAAAAGATTAGAATAATGTTACCTTCTGAGAACTTCCTGACGCTGTACATGCTGTATATACAGATTAATGAAAATTAAAAGCAATGTGTTTGCAGCTTTTTTCTTATTAAAAATCCCTGTCCATTGAGACTATAATCCTCTTTTCTTCCATGTGTTAAAAATTATGAGAATACTTCCATCACTGAAATGTAAGTGTGTATATATATATATATATATATATATATATATATATATATATAATGCAAAAGGAAAAAATAAAATAATTTATTTTGTTTCCAAAAAAGCAAGTTATTTATTTTCACTATTTTATAAGAAAAAAAAATTGACTGTTGGTTTTAGGCTGTTTTTTAATTTCAGCTGTTCAACATTGATTTTTAATAAATAATCATAGATAGTATATAGTCTGTGTATTAAAAAATATTTTTAAAACAAGTAATGCACCCTTTAATGCATCCAAAAATCTCTCACTTGTCGTATGTGCGCATATTTACTTTAAAAAACTTGTCAATGAACTATGAGGGCTAAAAAAATAAAAGAAATAAATAAAATAATTGTTCATTAACAATCATAATCAAGTTCAAATGTTTAATTAAGTAAGATTTTTTTATTTTAGGCCGACTCGCCCAGTCCTAACCCTTCTATTTTCTCCTAATTATTTAAAAAAAAAAAAATAAATTGCAACTTTTTATTTTCGATTTGTCTACAGAACAAACTATCACTATACAATGACTTACCTAATTAACCTAATTAAGCCTTTAAATGTCAATTTAAGCTAAATACCTGTATCTTGAAGAATATCTAGTCATGTAGTATGTGCTGTCATCATGGCAAAGAAAAATAAATCAGTTATTAGAAATGAGTTATTAAACCTATTATGTTTAGTAATGTGTTGAAGAAATCTTCTCGCCGTTAAACAGAAATTGGGGAAAATAAATATATCGGAGGCTAATAATTCTGACTTCAACTGTACTTTCTCACAGTCCTTTATTTTCTTCTTTTATATCATACAACCAAATAGAAAAAAATACCAATTTCACTGACATTTCCACCGTTTTCCAGTTTTCCTTAATTGCTGTAATAAGTGCAGTGTGAGGTGCCTCAAGGGAGTCCCCTCAGTCCGTGTCTAATTTTCCACCTAATTGATTATAATGAACAGCTCCCCCATCGCTGCCTCAAACACACACACACACACACACACACACACACACACATTCACACACACTCATGCGAGCACGAGTGAGTCGTATGCAATAGTGCAGTAATTGCAGTTGTTAACACCCCCATCGGGTGTGAATGGATCAACACTGTGAAAGACCCTGTGAATGATCTCTTCTGCCTCTCAGGAAATGCTGCTGTCGTACGGAAACATGAATGGATATTATTAAAACAGATCCGCTTGTTTTAACTCTGACTTAAATGTGGGCATTTGGAGCGCTAATATTATCATATGACGCTGGCAGGAAGAAAGTTTTAAGAAATGGTTACACAACCACTCGTGAGCTTGAAAATAACAATAGCAATAACGAACATTATAATAACAGTAAAAATCTAAATTTGGAGAAATGCAAGTTGTGCAAAATACAAGCACACCCCTCACAAATCTCTCATATAAATTAATATTTTCTATAGGAAGCTTTACAATATTGCATTTGTGAATATACATTAGATTATTCGGCAGTGAAGCCAAATCTGGAGCCGATCTATTAAAATAACTGATGATAACAGTCCACAATGAGTACACCCTAATTTACACATTAGGAAATAAAACATTTTTAAAAAGAACAAAATTCAAGAGAAACAAAAAAATGTATGTAATTTTGTTGAAACTTTTAGTTTGTAATTTTCCCACCCAATATTTTGCATGAATTTAAATGTATAATCTTTCTATTCCTAAAGATGTTCAGTGACTAAAATATTAGTTTACTAAATATGTTTTCTTCAAATGCTCCAAAATATACACTACCTGACAAAAGTCATGTCATCGATCTGAGTTGTAAGAGCAACAAATAATAACTTCACTTCTAGTTTATCATAGAAAAGTGACAGAAGGTGGATTTTTCTGATGAATCATTTATTGAACAGCATCCCAATCATCACAAATACTGCAGAAGACCTATCAGGACCCGCATATACCCAAGGTTCTCACAAAAGTCAGTCAAGTTTGGTGAAGGAAAAGTCATGGTTTGGGGTTACATTCAGTATGGTGGAGTGCGAGAGATCTGCAGAGTGGATGGCAACATCAATCGCCTGAGGTATCAAGACATTTGTGCTGCCCATTACATTACAAACCACAGGAGAGGGACAATTCTCCAGCAGGATAGCGCAAAGAAGGTCAAGCAGCTCCAGAATTCGCCAGCCAGGTCACCAGACATGAACATTATTGAGCATGTCTGGGATAAGATGCAGGAGGAGGCTTTGAAGATGAATCCAAAGACTCTTGATGAACTCTGGGAGTCCTGCAAGAAGGCTTTCTTTGCCTTTCCAGATGACTTTATTAATGCGTGATTTGAGTCATGGCAGAGATGTACGGATGCGGTCCTCCAAGCCAGGCCCGGATTGGCTAATCGGGAGGACCGGGAGAATTCCCGGTGGGCCGGTCTGTTTTTTGGCCGCGAGGGTCGGTGTTCCTAGCTCCAGAATCTGTTGCTCTCAGCAGTCACACTTTTTAAAAATAATTTATTTATTTACTTGACCACAGCCTTCTTATTCATTATTTTACCGCAGCTCTACTCTTTTTATCTATTTTCTCGTAGCCTCGTGAGCAAGATGCAGCCTGCAGGTTAATGATGATATAACTAGATAAGTCACTATTTAATGTACAGCTGTTGTGGTACAGTGGTAAGCACGTTAGGTTATGAGGCCACCAATCCGGGTTCGGACCTCGTCTGAATGACAATTTTTTTTTTTTCATTTTTATTGTTAAGATATATAATACTGTTAGGGTTGTTGAACATTTGAAGTTCTAAAACAGCTGTTTTCTCAAAAAAAGACGTGATAGTGTAATTAGAAACTGAATTGGAAATGACCTTATTTTATTATAGTCAGTGGTGAACTGAGGTGGGCCGGTCTAAGGCTTGAAACTCCAGGGCTGAAAAAGAGTCCCACTCCGGCCCTGCTCCAAGCTCATGGAAGTCAGACACAATATTCATTTTTTCTTCACTGCAGCAGAACTTTTTATTCTATACTGGATATTATTTCTGTTCAGTGACAAGACTTTTGTTTAAGCAAAGTCGGACCTTACTGTCCTAATAAAATCATTAAAAATCAAGGCATGATCATATTGTATTTTGGTCAAATAAGTGTCATCTAGAGGCCTTTGCAATTCATACAGGCCTCTTTTGATACCAAATAATCAACTAGAAGTCAAGTTATTATTTGTTGTTCCTAAAACTTGGATAGGCGACAAGACTTTTGTCAGGTAGTTTATATTGACCAATTCACTGAGAAATGGATAAAAATATTTAATTTTAAAATGGGGGTGTACTCTGTTATGTTGAGCACTGTATATATAACCTAAAGTAATGCACACTACAGTATTCTTTTGTTCCCGATATTGATGTATCATAATTTTTTTATTTATTTGTTTTTATTATAATAATAATTTTTAATTAATAGCACTTTTGTGACCCTGCGAAAATCTTGACGGTAAAGTTTTAACAGCTGAATGTTTCCCTGTTACATTTCTTCAGACATGTCACAGCTATGAGAAAAATGCAATGTTGACTAATTTATTTGTGTGTATTTCAAATTTTTAGGCTGGAAGAACAGACCAAGAAGCTGCATAAAGACATGAAGAAAAGCACAGAGGCTGATTTAGGTTTGTGATTATGATTTCCCCCCTCCTCTCTGCTAATGCTGGCTCTCATCTAAATATATCGTCTTCTCTCTTCTGTGATATCAGCGCTTATACCGGTCAGAAAGAGAGAAAAGCATGTACCGTTGTGTCGTGTTTTTCTCTTATGCACTACAGTTGAATTCAACGTTAACCGCCCTGCTATGAATTTGTTTTCTTTTTTAAATATTTCCCAAAGGATGTTAAACAGATTAAGGAAATTTCCACATGTCTGATAATATTTTTTCTTCTGGAGAAAGTCTTGTTTTATTTCGGCTAGAATAAAAGCAGTTTAAAATTTTTCAAAACCATTTTAAGGTCAATATTATTAGCCCCCTTAAGCTATATTTGTTTCAGTTCTATACAGAACAAACCATCGTTAAACAATAATTTTCCTAATTACCCTAACGGTGCATTCCCACAGGGTTTCAATGCCAATACTTGACTGAAGGTGTGTCTGAAGTTGGGGCTGACGTGATTGTCATAGCATCGTCAGCCAATGAAATTAGTCAGCAATCGGCTACTGTCTGAGCTGGTGTATTTGCATACGCTTCCGTCTGCGCTTCAAAAGTTGAGAAAGTCCCAACTTCTGCAGCGATCAATGCCACTAAAGCGGCGCCGATGGATCCACAATGCAGTCGGGCAACGCCTGACATCATCAATTCAAAGTGAATGGTAGCGTTGAAGCTGACGCCCCTTGTGAATGGGGCGCAACTTGCCTAATTAACCTAATTAAGCTTTTAAATGGCACTTTAATCTGAATACTAGTATCTTGAAAAATATTTAGTCAAAAATTATGTGCTGTCTGTCATCATGGCAAAGATGAAATAAATCAGTTATTAGAGATGAGTTAGTAAAACTGTTATGTTTAGAAATGTGTTAAAAAAATCTTCTCTCCGTTAAACAGAAATTGTGAATAAAACTGTACAGTTTTAATAATATTAATAATAATAATTCAGACTTTAGCTGTATATGCTTTGATATCTCCAGAAGTCAGAGAGTATTCATTTAAAACTGTTTGATAAATGTATCACAAAGCTGAAAGTACCATAGCTGACAGTCCAATCAGGGTGAAAGTCATGTAATGTACTCCTGTTTTTAATTCTGTGTGTTGATTTATTTATTTAAACGGTGCATTCCTGACCTGTCATTTCCCTTTCTGGACAATTCAGTTACAGATTTGACTGGATTTATCTCGGATGTGTTGTCATGATTACATTTTTACACGGGCAAGGTCATGAGAATATCTCATGTTATTCGCATATACAGACTTGCCTGAGTCCTGTTGCTACACTCTAAAAACAATGTACTGTTTTCGAATTAGTCAGACGTGAGTCAAAATTATGTTCTGTGGTATTTCTGCCCCAAATCCCTGCACTGCGTTCCCTGGAAAAGGCAAGAAATATTCAGCAGTTCTGCAGTTTCTGGAGGTGAACGTTTTAAGAGGAATTTCAGTTTCGTGCAGACCTGGCTATGGCATTTTGCTGTGTGTCAGTTATATAGCAGATAGTTGACATCCAGTCTCTTTCATTTTATAGGAGAAACCGTGGGCAGTAGTAACTTTTTTTTTAATAGAGTTTTTCTTCATAACTCATGTATTGCTTAAAATGCACTACAGTCATCCTTTTATAAAAGATACAAATGTAGGTTAATTGTAACTGGGGCCAAATATATAGGTAGATGTATATAGATCTATAGGAATTATAATTAATTTTATTTCTGCAGAGAATTTTGTTATGAAAAAATTAATTTAATGTTATTAAAAAAATCTTCAAAATCTTTAAAAATCTATTTTGAATTTATAGTAACTAAAAATGTAAAACAGGAACATAAAAATAATAGCTTTTATTTGCATTTGAGTTTTACAATGCAAATCCGATGAGAACAACAAAGTCTTTTATACTATATATCTACAGAAAATATTACTTTACAAATTGTATTGAAACCATATAAACATGTACATTAAGGCGGCTGCTTGATATTGCTAAAAAGCGTATCAAAAGTCGTTGAAAAGTCGTTGCAATATTTTCATTCACTGCGATATACTCTCACCGGCCACTTTATTGGGTACACCTGTCCAACTGCTCGTTAACACAAATTTCTAACCAGCCAATCACATGGCAGCAACTCAATGCATTTAGGCATGCAGACATGATCAAGATGATCTGCTCCAGTTCAAAGCGAGCATCAGAAAGGTGATTTTAAGTGACTTTGAACGTGGCATGGTTTTTGGTGCCAGACGGGCTGGTCTGAGCATTTCAGAAACTGCTGATCTACTGGGATTTTCACGCACAACCATCTCTAGGGTTTACAGAGAATACCAAAAATTCTGTCAGATAAGAACAGAAAACTGAGGCTACAATTCAGACAGGCTCACCAAAACTGGACAATAGAAGATTGGAGAAACGTCGCCTGGTCTGATGAGTCTCCATTTCTGCTGCAACATTCGGAGGGTCGGGTCAGAATTTGGCATCAACAACATGAAAGCATGAATCCATCCTGCCTTACATCAGTGCTTCAGGCTGGTGGTGGTGTAATGGTGTGGGGGATATATTCTTGGCAGTAATCAGAGAAGCATAAATTAAATAATTACTGTATAATAGTAATAGTAATGATTATAATAATAATAATAATGACACTATGGTTGGGTTGATAGCAATGAAATTGTCCATCACTAATGGCCCATAGATATCACAATGCTGAGCCGGCATTGCGATCCTCCGCCCTGCCCCCATGACAGCAGCAACCCGGTTGTGAAAATTACACAATCAGGCCCCGTTCACACTAATACGTCTTAGTTTTAAAATGGCATTTTACTGTTTCATCTAGCATTTCTGAAAAGATTTCCCTATATACCGCTGAAAGCGCACATCACAAGTCCTCCTACACACACATACACAGTCATACTGAACTCCAGGCAGTCAGCGGGTGCTTTGAGCACAAAACCCCAGAGAGCAGTGCCCGTCTGACAGTTTATCAAGGATCTACCGCTGGATGGCGTCTCACTATAGTTGTTAAACGTGAAATTTAATTAATCTTGTCCCTAGCTAACAACTCTTCTGTCTTCCCAGTCTATCAGGTAACGTGTCACAGCGTATCAATCTTTCGCTTTCACGCTTGTACTTTGTAATTTTAGTGAAAAAACTATTTACTGAAGAAGTAGTAAACTGGAAACCCAGTTTGACAGTGGGGTACAGGTGATACAACTGTGTCCATAGCAAAGAACTGCAAATAAGCAGATATTATAACAATGTATCGATAAACACACACCTCGTTCTCTCGCTCTGCACAGCTGTGGTTAGCTGATCAAATGAAAAGTGAAAGTCGGGGAGGAGCCGAATTCTGCCGCCGTCTTCATATCAAATGTAAAGGGGACAGAGACCATAATTTGGTCTATAGTTTCAGCTAATCGGAAAAGTTTTAGGGGGGCTCAATAGAAATATTACTACAGCCTCCCTAAAATAGGCCTAGCGACGCCCATGACTCTTCAGGTTAAAATCTGAAAATACTCCACTATGTTGTAACTGTAATGTCTGGTCAACTATGGGTGCTTTCACACCTACACTTTTGTTTTGGAACCTTTCTTGTTTGCCCAGTTAGCGCTGTTCGTTTGGCATATGTAAATCCACCAATCGCGCTCGGATATGCGCCAAAACAATCGCTCCGAGATCGCCTGAATGAGGTGATCTCGGCTCAATTAAAACGAACTCTGGAGCAGATCGATTGAAGTGAGAAAGCAAATGATCCAAGCACGGTTATATCACAGTGTATTATGGATATGTAATAGGCATACGGCTATATGAAGAGAGAATTATGAGTAGGGTGGGAGGTCATTCCAGAGATCCCAAGTCTCCCGGAAGTTTCGGTAGTCTCCCACAAACGAGTGATAATCTCGCGGTAATCACGCGTCTCCC